GAAGTGGGTTTCGAGAAAGTCAATCCACCGGACCTGCCGCCTGGAGAGTGTTGGTTGGGTCTTCAGGTACTTGAGGCTGCAGTGGTCGGTGTAGACAATCGTTTTTCTTCCTTCGAGATAACACCTCCATGCCTTAAATGCGTTGACGATGGCGAGGGCCTCTTTGTCATGGATGGGGTGATTGAGTTCTGCCCCGTGAAGTTTTTTACTGAGGTATGCAATGGGTTGCAGTCCCTTCCCTTGATCCTGCATGAGTACTGCGCCCACTGCTTGATCGCTAGCATCGGCCTCGATGACATAGTCAAGTTCAGTGTCTGGCAGGATAAGAACAGGTGCGGAAGTGAGTGCGGTTTTAAGTTGTTCCACGGCTTCCTGGTGCTTCGCCTCCCATTGATATGGTGTATTCTTCTTCAACAGGTTCGTTAATGGTGCGGCAATCTTGGCGTAGTTCGGTACGAACCGGTTGTAGTAGTTGACGAATCCAAGGAACTGTTGTAACTCCTTCACGTTCTCAGGGGTCTTCCACGTTCGCACTGCTTCGATCTTCTTAGGATCCACGTGAACTCCTTGAGCGCTCACCATATGTCCAAGGAACTGGACTTTTTTCAACGCAAACTCGCGCTTGGATAGTTTCACGTAGAAGCGTTCTCGTCGAAGAATTTCAAACACCCGTCGTAGATGCTCAACGTGCTGCTTCATATCTTTCGAGTAGATCAGGATATCGTCCAAATATACCACCACGCACTCGTCCAGAAGGGGCCGAAGGATGTGGTTCATTTCCGCCTGAAATGTGGCTGGTGCGTTAGTGAGTCCGAATGGCATCACGAGATACTCGTATGACCCGTACCGAGTTCGAAAAGCGGTTTTGTGGATAGAGTTGTCCGCCATACGAATTTGCCAGTATCCCGATCTGAGGTCGAGCTTGGAGAATACCGTAGCACCGCGAAGTTGATCGAATAAGTCGTCGATCCGTGGTATCGGGTATTTATTTTTTACAGTCTGCTTGTTTAAGGCTCGGTAGTCGATGCACATTCGCAGACTTCCGTCTGGCTTCGGAGTGAAGAGAACTGGAGCTCCGTACGGCGAAGTCGAAGGTCGAATCAGCCCTTTCTCCAGGAGATACTCTATTTGTTTTTTCATATCGGCAAGCTCTGTCGGGCTCAGCCGGTATGGTGCTCGAAATGTTGGCTTGGACCCCGGCTCTTCTACGATCTCGTGTTGATGTGTCCGGTATGGCGGTAGTTGATCAGGTAAATCGTCGGGGAGAACGTCCTGGAACTCTTCAAGAATTTTCTTGACTGCTGGAGGAAGTTCCTGGGTCTGCTTCTCTCCGTTGTCTGCCTCGTTGACTATCGCCATGAATCCCGCCGTGGTCCGTTTGACGTCCTTTTCAAAGCGTGCGAGTGTCTCGACTGGAATATTTCCCGTGTTGTCCCATTTGGGAAGGCTGATTTTCCTCCCGTTGTTGTTGATGTTGGCCGTCTGGTTAACCCAGTTGATCTCGGGGTTGAACTTTTTAAGAAAGTCTCTCCCGAAGATTACGTCGAGTCCTTTGATATTTGTGATGGGGAGAGCAGGCTTCCATCGAAGGGGTCCAATCTGGAGTAGCAACCGTGTTTTTCCGTAGATAGGTAGCTTACTGCCATCCACCATCGTTGCAGAGAAGCTTGAGGACTTGATGTCACCTCCGAGTCGATCGATTGCCTTTTTGTCATAGACGCTGTGCAACGCCCCGCTGTCCACGAGTGCTTGGAGGCGCTGTCCGTTGCAGATCACCTCGAGCAGGAGTGGTGAGCGTTGCTCAGAGTACCCAAAAATAGTCTCATTAATAGGATCATAGGGTACATCCCAATATTCAGTACACACCGTGGTTCCACTGCTTTCTTCTGGACAACTAGCTGGCCTGGGCTGCGTGGAGAAAGGCTCTTCTCCAATGCCAGGAGTAGAGGTAGTAACCGTACAAGTTGACCCTGAGGGGGTGGATCTGGTCGACGCCTGCGATCCACTGGATGCATCCTTGAGGGGTTTTCGGAGTTTCTGCAGCTTCTTTTGAACTCCCAGCTGCCTCTTCAGCTGCTTCAGCTCCATAGACTTCTTCCCTGGGGAGTGGAGAGTCGTCTTGGGCTGGTTCCGGGAGAGGACGTTGACGCTGTGAAAAGGTCTACTCCTTTCCACACTCCTTAATTTTTTCCCCAGCTCCGTAGGCACCGGTACCACTTCTTTAATTGTCTGCTTCCTCTGGAGTTCTTCCCGGAATTTGTTTATGGCTCCGGACCCGCGAAAAACGCCAGTCTTCATTAAAGCATCTTTGAAAGATAACTTTAACGAATTCTGTTTTTTCCCGGGGTCGAATTGGAGAGTTCCCGTCTTGGTCGAGTCTGTTTTCGCGGAGGTTTTCTTTTCCTCGGCGAATTCCTCTGACAAATTTCGGTCAAGGGGCTTGGGATTTCGCCCTTGATTCTCCAAATCTCGCGCCCAATGCTGTCCTTCAATTTCGATTCGGTCCAGATTGCGCTGACGCTTTCGGATCTGTTTTTTCTCGCCAGCACGATCCGCAATCACTGGCGAGATCCGTTTTTTGACATTTTGTTTTTTGTTTCGCCACTCCCACGAGCTCGGAATGTCGCACGTGCAGATTTCATGTGAAAACAGTCGACAATCCGATGTCCGTTTCCGCCGCAAAATTCGCAAACTGTTTTGTTTTTTGCAGGTCGTGAATTCGCGTCGAATTTGTTGACTTCCATGGGGTCGGCGAACGTGGTTGAAGCCGAGCGATCCCCTTGTCGTGATCCGACGACGTGGGGCCGTCGTGTTCCGGAGTTGACCAAGTCAAAACGCTTCGCGGCCGATACGATTTCGCTGTAGCTGCTGCAATTCGCTGCTGCAACCTGGCGCCGAATGTCGGTTTTCAGCCCCGCGATGTAGGACTGAATTTTTTCGCCCTCGGTAATGTCGGGAATGCGATTATAAAATTCCTCCATCTGCTGCGTGTATTGCGTGACAATCCCGTATTGCCTATGGTGATGTAATTTTTCGCGCGCAATATAAGTGGAATTAATCGGCTCAAAACGTTTGAGAAGGTCTGCCCGGAACTGCTGCCACGTGGCTTCGCCCTGGAAAATGCTACTGTTGCTTCCGAGCCACTCGAGAGCTGGACCGCGCATCAACGTTGTCGCGAGACGAATTTTCTCGCCGTCGTACTCCGTTGTCGTCCATCCGATCGCCGCGAAATAAATTTCCATCGTCGCGAGCCACCGCCTGACGTCGGATTTTCGATCGCTAGGGTCGAACGATTCCGGCGAGCGAAGTTTCGGAACCTCGAACTGACGCTGCGACTGCTGCGAAGTCTTCGAAGCAGGAATGTTCATGGTCGAGAGGAGCCGCGTAACGCGCTGTAGTTCGTTTCGCAACTGCTCGTTCTCCAATCGCGACCGTTCAGTCGTCGCTCGCATCTCCGCTTCCATCTTGGCGATTTGCGCGAAGAGCTGTTGCGTAACGTCGTTGGTCGCCGGCGAACCCATCCTGTTCAAAAACCACGCGAGGGGGTTAATTCGAAAAGTGCGGAACTGGTACTTACCAGAAATCGGCGTCGAATTGGTCGCCCCCGGCGGTTTTTCGAGGCGATTTTTTCCGCGACCGCTGCTTAGCCGAGAGTTGTCGAGTGAGAACGGCTCTGATTACCAAGTGTCACAGGATCGAATTCTCAATCGAAACTTGTCACTAAAACTGAATACAAGGCCTATTTATACTCGGAAAGTACAAGGATAAACGAGATAAAACGAACCTTCGGGAACACACCCTTCCCGATACTACAATCACAAGTGCGCATAAGCACGCAAGTCTATTGACACTTGGGATTACGCCCAGATTACACCGTATACACCACTGTCGGCGCTGTCGGTGCCGTATAATAGGTATGTCGGTGGGAAAAGTAGGAAATAAGAGAAATAAATAGAAGGCTCTAGAGAATAGAATAGTAGGCCGATTGAGATGAGATAAAGACCAAAATAAAGAGGAGAAAAGGGAGAATGGAATAACGGAAAAATATAATAGTGAGAAAATATTATAACGGGGACGTCCTCTCACAATTACTGTGCCCTGCTCTGCCTGACTGATTGGTCTGTGTGTGTGTGATGTGATTACAAGGGAAACTAAGCTTCTAACAAAGTGCACAGGATAAAGTGAAAAGTAGCACTGACTTGGCAGGATAATGTCACTTGTAGCACTGACCCTACAGCATACCCACCCTTGCTCTATCCTGACAGTTCAGGACAAAATAGGAATTCTTAAAACCTGCCCTGAGTCCACAGGGTACCCTCAAACGAATCTGAGGCCCTGATCCATGCTGTGGCGAACTTTCTCCACCGTGTCAGATTGTGCTTTGAAATGCTGAAAAGTGTACTAAGCGGCTTGACTGGAACTAGGAACCAATCGTATGAACAGAAGTGAATTGACCTCGAGTGCGAACACGAGCTACCGACGCAGGACTAGCATTCCACCTGCCGGTCGAAGGGAGGTGTAGATAAACTGTTGAATTTCCCGCAGGAGTACCACCCTCCGCAATAGTGTGATTGACATCAGAATCACCTTGCGTGATTTGCCAGCGATAGTCACGGCGTGATGTCAGGTCAAAGCGCAGATGCGCATGCGCCGGTACCGTACTAGGTCACCTTCATAGCACTCAAAATATGTTGCCACACCTTCTTACAAAGAAAAACTTCTTCCAACATAAAGCCCACTTGAAAAAGTTGTGGTGTGTTTGGAATCCAGTGTCGTGTGTTGGGACAGTTTGGGACGTTACTTGTGTTGCAAGGCTCTGGGCCGAAATACGCTGGAGAACGAGGATTCCACTCAACAGTTATTGACGAGGAGCAGGGCTTACAAGATACGTATCTGAGGTAAGCCTCTCTCAAGATTGTAAGCACTAAATTCCAAGGTGTACTCTTCTTCACAGTTGTCTACTCCAGGAAAACAAAAAAAAACAAAGCAAGCAAGCAAACCTAATCGGCAACACTGAACACGCGGAACGAGTCCATGACTTGCCGCAGCACAGGCCTCTCAGAATCCAACAGCCTCTCGGGCACCTGCAGGCGCAGCTGGTAGAGGCGTCTGTTGGCCACTGCGAGCACTGTGAGGTAGCGGCGGTTCCACTCGAGCACCTGCACTCGCTCGTCTGGCATGATGGCCAGCTGGTTGTTGTTGGCAAACGACTTCACGTTCAACTGCAGGTGAGCGAGGGATGGGGAGGAGCGGAGGATGCAGGGAGGGAAAGGGTGGGAGAGGGTGGAGAGAGGGCGGGGACAGGGTGGTAAGCATTTGGTGAAACAATTGACTGGGAAGAGAGAGTGTAATGTGGTGTTTGGGGAAAATTTGATTGGGATTTGGTGACTCTCCTCAATAGTTCTCACCACCATCACTTTCCCCCCAGCAGCCCTTCACACCATCTCTCCACCATACCTTCCCCCCAACCCCCTCTGCTTCCCCATCCCGCAGGCCCCTTACCTCCATATCATTGTACCCCTCATTACTCTCCTCCTCCCCTCGCAAGCTCCCCCTCCTCACTCTCACCCCTCCCCCTCCCCACGTTCCTCCGCTCCGCCCTCCCTCAGCCCCCTTCTCCCCTCACCTCCATGCCATAGTACTTAGCATCCTCCCCAACAATTCCCGCCCCCATCCTCCAGAATCCCCCTCCCCTCCTCAATCCGCACTCCCCTCACCTCCACGTCATCGTTCTCGTGTCCTCCCCAACAATCTCCACTCTCCTCCACCCCTCCCCTGCCCTCTCCTCCGCACCCCCTCATCCCCACTCGCCCCACCCAACCCCATTCGGACCCCCCTCCCTCTTTACGCCCCCTCACCCCCACGTCATAGTACTAAGCGCAGCGACCTGCTACTGCTCCTTCCAGTGAGAAAGATGGAGGCGCCTAAAAAAAGTCGTCATAGCGCTCCACGTCCTCTACCCTACCGCACCCCACCCCACCGCATCCCACCGCTGCCGCACTCCCTATCCTCCATCCCCGCACCCACACTCCCCACCATCACCCTCACTCCCCCCCACTCCCCTCCAACCCCTCCCCCTTTCCCCCACGCCCCCTCACCTCCACGTCATAGTACTCAGCGTCCTCCTCCTGCTCCCCGGCGCCTCTCCTCCCGGTGCCAGCTGGCACGATGCGGTTGGCGGAGGAGATGAGGGAGGCCTCACGCCGCACGCCCAGGCGTGTGGACATGAACTCCGTTAGAAGCTGCTTCTCTACTCGCTCCCCTGCCGCCTGGGGGGCTCCCAGGTCCCGCACAGACTGTACAGCCACATGCATTAACCAGGGAATAACAGGGCGTTAACAGGGAGTACAGAGGAGTACGGTGGGGCACAGGAACTCCGTTAGAAGCTGCTTCTCCACTCGTTGACCTGCCGCCTGGGGGGCTCCCAGGTCGCGTACAGGCTGTACAGGGGTTCGACACGGAGAATGGGGGAGTGCAGAGGGGTACAGGAAGGTGCGTGGACATTAACTCCGTTAGAAGCTGCTTCTCTACTCGCTTCCCTGCTGCCTGCGGGCCTCCCAGGCTGTCCCAGATCATATGCGCTATAGGATCCGCAGTCTCTGTACCTTTCTTCTCACTGCAGGGTGGGTACTGTTTTTTTAGCGATTGCCTTTGGACTTTACGCGGGTTGGCTGTGTCAAAGATTGGAATATGTGCCTCGCGGCACAGCACATGGCACACTACACAACGCATAGCACACACACATACAGCGCATACCACACACACAGCGCATACCACACACACAGCGCATACCACACGCACAGCGCATACCACACACACAGCGCATACCACACACACAGCGTATACTATACACACAGTGCATACCACACACACAGCGCATACCACACACACAGCGCATACTACACACACAGTGCATACCACACACACAGCGCATACCACACACACAGCGCATACCACACACATAGCGTATACTACACACACAGTGCATACCACACGCACAGCGCATACTACACACACAATGCATACCACACAAACAGCGCATACCACACACACAGCGCATACCCCACACACAACGCACAGCACACACACAGCGCATAGCACACACACAGCGCACTACATACCGCGAATCGGGACGACGAGGGCGACGACACCTCGACGCTCACGTTCTCGTCGAGGTTGAACGAGCTGCGGAAGAAACAGTCCTGCCCGGATCCCCGCACCTGACGGCGGGAACGACGGGAGGAATGGCGGTGAGAATGGCGGAGAAACAGCGGCGGAGGGCGAGTGAAGAGGGCTCGGGAAATGCGCAACTTGGAAGCTCAGAATCACACGAGCGCGGATGACTCAGATGATTCAGGAACGAGCACAGCAGCTCCGAAGCTCAAAAAGGACGAGCGAGCCAATGACGAAAACACGCCGATCCGAGAGCCGATCAGGCTCATCACATGTGATCTGAATAGAGCGGAAAAAGGCCGAAACCCAGGCGGCCTTGAGAGCGTGAGTGCGTTTTCAGAACCAGCCTTTGATGACGCGACCTTCTAGTGAGTATCGTACGGCTGCTGTCTTGGTAGGAAAACTTTTGGACGTCTCTAAAGCTGTATGTGCCGTTTGAGGCGTCAAAACGCGCGACCTAGTGAGTCACTCATCTCACCACGCTGATAGCGCAAACTAGCCAGTCTGGCAGCTCAGCAGGTCGATGACGTGAACTAGCGAGTGTTCTGTGAGAATTATCAAACGCTGATCCAATCTGTGTCGCGAATAACGAGCAGCCGTTAACGCGACCACGGCTTTAGTCGACTCAAAAGTCTCCTCTTTCAGAATTCTCAAAAGCAACTCTTCCCGGACTCACCTCGACCCACGAGTCGGGGTAGAAGAACGAGTAGCCGTCGAGCCGATCCACGTACAGACGGAAGCCGGCAGGCGGGAGCAAAAACGGCAGCGCTTGCGCCGCGGGGAGAGCAGACCAATCCGCGAGCAGCGCGCCGGCAGATGCGGCGAGAAGAAGGGAAGCTCTGCGAGAAAATGCTCCCTTAGAGGAGGCTCCGTTATTATCCTGCAATTCACTCGTAGAACACTCTGAACCGGAGGATGCTGAAAATCTATCTGGTTCTTGGCTAGCCCGCACTCGGAACGCTCTGCGACTCGAGCCTACTCGTGCGGTTTGTCTGGGAGCAAGGACGCTCCAGGAGCCTCCTAAGCAGCGAACTGCGGATGTGTCGGCTCGCTCCGCTGCACACAGCTGAAGCGGAGCGCATGCTAAGGTGGCAGCCGCCGCTCCGGTGCTGGCCGACATGATTAGAGACATAATTACGGTCGACCAGTTGCTTAGGCCAGACTAGACTAGTGAGCAGATATGGGAACTGTCGATAAATGGCAAAAGTGAGGGGGGATGGAGATGGAACAAATGGAGTTATCTAGGGTGGATAGGCTTCGTCTTCTGGTTCCACGTGGCTTGATGCGACCTCCAGTTCGATGAGCCTCGAGTTTCGCGAAAAGAGATGCCTGGGTCGCGAGGACACGAAAGCAATTACTTAGTAACTGCTTGTCGCACTGGCGCCGCGAAACATCAGCATGACTCATGCGGACCACTGTTTGTGTTATTGTGCCAGCAAGAAATAAATCATTTCAATAAGAATGAGACAATAATGATAATACATTCCCCCTCCCTGCAAACTAGTTCTCAAAATTGCTTCTCAGGTCATAGTGATATGTTCCCCAGCACGACCTCTTATATTAAGAGCAGCTCAACTCCAGTCCGCACTCGCCGATCGTGTCCTCGCCGGAGGCTGGGGCGGCAACCCCGCACCCGGCGAGAATTGCACCGGCCCACGAGAAGGCGAAACCTGGTAACCAGGAGACCCCACTCCACGCCCTCCTCCTACCCCACCACCGCCACCACCACCACCAGCACCACCACCACCGCCATTACCACCATTACCACCACCGCCGCCCATTCCCATCCCACACATCACTTCATCTGCCATCCCTCCGCTCTGACTCCTCCCCAACGCCCGGTTTCCCCGCTTTCCCCTAGGCTGCAGCGACCCAGTGCGCCTGAGAAACCTGTCCCCTAGCATGGCTCGGCTGGGACTGGCGGAGGGTGAGCTTCCCCCAGATCCACCTCCCCCTGACCCAGAAGGGGGATACACCATCCCACCCCCACCCCCACCTGCTCCCCCACCCATTCCACCACCATTACCACCACCACCACCGGGACCACCGACACCAGCGCCTGAGCCGGCACCTGAAGTGTTCCGCCCATGAAGAGGACTCCGCATGTATCTCCCGCTTCCGCTGCTGCCACCGCCGCCACCCCCGCCACCAGGCACAGCACCGCCACCGACAGACAGCCGGCCCATGGCGCCTGAAATCAAGGGGCTACGCAGCTCAGGGCTGCGCGGGGGCCGCATATCCCACTTGGCCGACGCCTTCCCCAGCACCCCCGAACCCGGATACCCCGGCCCTGCCGGCGCCATCCCCACTCCCACCGCTGCACCCAGCCCGCCTCCTCCATCCCCTCCTCCTCCCGGCCCCCCACCCCCTCCGCCCCGCGCGCCTTTCCCCGACCGCGCGCTCCCGCCGCTGCGACTAGAGTCGAAGGACCGGACGCTGCCATTGGTGGATTCGCTATTATCACTGGACATGGAGACGGCGTCGAAGACGGTTTCGGGCATGAGCACGCTGAAGGTGGGGTGGCGCAGGCCTTGAGGGTGCGGGTCGCAGGGCAGGTCCACGAACTGCTGCGGGTTGAGGAAGAGGTAGTTGGCGTGCAGCACATCCCGGATTCGTGACCGGATGTTGGATGCTGCTCCTTCCAGCACCCGCGAGTAGCTTTCAAGGACTGCTTTGCCGATGTCCTGCAGGCAGCATGGGGGAGGTGGTGGGGGGGGGGGAGGGGAGGGAGGCATGGGATGCATGGGGAAAGGGGTTGAGGAAGAGGTTTCGGGCATGAGCAGGCTGAAGGTGGGGTGGCGCAGGCCTTGAGGGTGCGGGTCGCAGGGCAGGTCCACGAACTGCTGCGGGTTGAGGAAGAGGTAGTTGGCGTGCAGCACATCCCGGATTCGTGACCGGATGTTGGATGCTGCTCCTTCCAGCTTTCAAGGAACGTGGGAGATACGGGGGGTGGGGTAGGGAGGTGAGGGTATGAGCAAGAGAGAGGGGGAGGGTTAGCAGGAGGGAGTTGAAGGTATGCATGGGATGTGCAGAGCTTGGCATGACCTTTGCGATTTCGAGGGTGGGTCGAGTTAGGTGGAGTGTGGGCGGAGTGCGGAGTTGGCTTCTCCTGCAGGTCAGCCCATCTATGGCAAGGCAAAAGGCACCTCTGGTGCAGGATAGGACCTGCTAAAGCCTCTACTTTCCTCCTTTCTGGTCGCATTCTAGTGCAATCCGTTCTGATGCTGTTCCTTACCAGCACAACACATGGAGCTGCAAGAACGTACCCCATTGAATGCGATGTTGGCTAGGTCAAGAGTGGTGCGGGGCAGGTCGGGCCATCTGCGGCAGATGGCAGCAAGGCACGAGGACACGCGCTGCAGGCTCTCCTGACTTCCCCTCTGATATCTCTGAACTGAGGTAGCGTAGCTTACCCCATTGAACGCGATTTTGGCAAGATCCAGAGTAGTTTGGGGCAGGTCGGGCCATCTGCGGCGGATGGCAGCAAGGCACGAGGAGACGCGCTGCAGGCTCTCCTCCAACCGCACCACGTCCCGGCTGCTAGTGGACAAATAACTGCCGCCCAGCGTGTGGCTCAGCTGGGGCTCCCTGGTCATGCCAAGTCAACGCCAGTCAAAGCATTGCAAGAGTGGTCAACACAAGTCAAAGAGGAACCAAAACGGAGTGAACGTGAGTGAACATGGGACTGATGATGTGAGGTGAAGTGCAAAGCTGTACGCGCATGTCGAACAAACAGTGTCACCACAAAAAGGGCGAGAGACACTTTGTCAAGCTCGCAAAGAATTGCACCTCTACGAACCGCACAGAACTGCATTGCACCGCGCCATACTGCACAGGACCGGTACCTTGCGATCGCGAGCTGGCGCATCCAGATCTGCTCGGCAGCCTCGAGCTTGCAGGCGAGCTTGAGAGCCGCCTTCTGATTGGACAGGTCCACGGTGGAGAGCAGCTTGTCGTCCGTGAAGGGGTTGGCGTGCAGGGCCGCATACACCCTGTCTCCCACCACCGCCCTCACGTTCTGAAGAGCATGAGCAGGTGGAAGGCAAGGAAATAGGTGGTTCGGAAGAGGAAAGTTAAGTGAAGGGAAGCAACTGGGCAGCTGTGACTGGGATGGCGTGCAGGGCCGCATACACCCTGTCTCCCACCACCGCCCTCACGTTCTGAAGTGGGGAACAGTGTAGGTGTGGAGAAGTCGGGCGGTAATGGTTGGCATGAAGGTTGGTGAGCAAAGTGGGGAGTGGCTTGTCGTCCGTGAACGGGTTGGCGTGCAGCGCTGCATACAGCCTGTCTCCCACCACCGCCCTCGCGTTCTGATGGGAGTAGGTGGGGGGAAGGGACGGGTGGGAAGGAAACAGGTGGAGAGGCACAGTTTGAAAGCCGCTTCTCATTGGACAGGTCCACCATGGAGAGCAGCTTGTCGTCCGTGAACGGGTTGGCGTGCAGTGCTGCATACACCCTGTCTCCCACCACCACCCTCACGTTCTAGAAGTGGGGAAGAGTGGAGGGGTGGAGAGGTGGGGTGGTACTGGTTGGCTTGAAGGTTGGGAGCCAAGTGGGGAGTGGCTTGTCAATTTGAAGCGGCTGGCGTGCAGCGCTGCATACACCATGCCCCCACCACCGCCCTCACGTTCTGACGAGAGAGGGGAGGGGTGAGGGTTGAGGGGTGGAGAGGCGGGGGGTTGGGGGGTGGAGGGTTGGGGGGGTGGATGGGTGGGCGTACGTGCAGGGGTGGAAGGAAGGATGTGGATCAGAGAGAAGAGCAGTTTGACATGTGTGGAGGGGTTGACGTGAAGGCAACCCACCACCATCGCGCACTGCCATGCATGGGCAGGGAGGCCCTACGTTTCGGGGGCCCTACCTTGGGAGGCCCTACCTTGGGAGGCCCTACCTTGGGGAGGCTCTACCTTGGGAGGCCCTACCTTGGGGAGGCTCTACCTTGGGAGGCCCTACCTTGGGGAGGCCCTACCTTGGGAGACCCTAACATGCGAAGGCCGTACCTTGGGGAGACTATACCTCAGGCAGGCCATACCTCAGGCAGGCCATACCTCAGGCAGGCCATACCTCAGGCAGGCCGTACCTCAGGCAGGCCGTACCTCAGGCAGGCCGTACCTCAGGCAGGCCATACCTCAGGCAGGCCGTACCTCAGGCAGGCCGCACCTCAGGCAGGCCGTACCTCAGGCAGGCCATACCTCAGCCAGGCCGTACCTCAGGCAGGCAGTACCTCAGGCAAGTCGTACCTCAGGCAGGTCATACCTCAGGCAGGTCGTACCTCAGGCAGGTCGTACCTCAGGCAGGTCGTACCTCAGGCAGGCCGTACCTCAGGCAGGCAGTACATTGGGGAGGGAGGTCTTACCTTGGGGAGGCGCTGCACAAAGGCGTCGGGGACTTGCATGTCCTGAAGGACCTGCTGGTTGATGGTCATGGCGAGCTTCATGATCTGACTCGTCTTCTCCATCTGCTGCTCCAACCACCGCACCAGCGCCTCCCCCAGCGGCCCCCGCACTCGCGGCTTCATCTTCCACCGCCACACCTGCCGGCCCCCTCCTGCCCCCTCTCCTCCTCCCACTCCTGCTCCTCCCATTCCCCCCATTCCTCCTCCCATTCCTCCCATGGCTCCCCCGCCCATGCCTTCTGGGATGAACCTCTTGTCCCTCACATCAGTCACGCTGCGTTTGAGTCCCCGCATGATACCGCTGCCACCGGGAGGGATCCCCCCTCCTGCCCCTGTCCCTCCCCCTGACGCTCCCCCTGCTGCGCCAGCAGCAGCAACAGATCCGCCGCCGCCGCCGCGGCTCCTTCCACCCCCTAGAAGCGCCGAAAAGTCGTAGCTGAAGCTCGAGGAGCGTGACGACACCCGCCGCTTGCCCCCCGACCCTGGAGAAGCACCTGAAGGAACACCTGAGGAAGAGGCAGGAGCAGCAGGAGCAGCTGTGCTGCTGGACCGCTGATGAAAACCCCAGGATGACCCGGGGTTTGGACTCGACCCCTCCCTGCTCCCCGTGTTACTCCCTGCGTTGCTCCCCGTGTTACTCCCACTGCTACACGCATCCTCGCCCTCCCCTCCTCCCCCTCCTCCGCCCCGCTGCTGCATCAGGTCCTCTTCACTACCGTGCCTCTCTGCCTCAAACCCAGGGGAGGAGAGCCGTCTGTAGTGCCCTGAGCCCCCGTCCCCTCCGTGTCCTGATCCCCGCTCTCCCGCGTCTCCTGTGTCTCTGGTGTTCCCTGTGTGCAACGTGCCTCTGTCGTCAAACTCCCCTCCCTGGCTGTACTGCCCCTCATCATCAGCAAAATCCTCCTCCTCGTCTGCTGAAGACCCTCGTGGGGACGACCCGTGAACCGACGAACCTTGCCCCGAACCATGCGCCGAACCATGCGCCGAACCATGCGCCGAACTATGTGCAGACCCGTGGCTCACTCCCCGTCGCCCCCCACCTCCCCTCTCCCCACCATCCCCACCCACTCCTCCCAACCGCCCGCTCATCCCTCCAGTCCCATACGGCCCGGCGTGAGTGGCAGGCCGCTCCGAGGGGGCTGTGGCGCTGCGCCTGATGAGACGATCCGGTGCACCGTACAGATCCCCAGCCGACCCTCCCATGCCGCCCATGCCGCCGCCCATACCGCTGCTGCTGCCGCCCGTGCTGCCGGCTCCGAAGCTCTCCCTGTCGTCATCGTCGTCGTCGTCGCCACGCAATGTCTCCTCAACCTCCTCTTCGTCCTCCCCCTCCTCGTCCTCCTCCCCGTCCTCCTGTGTTAGGTCGCCACCTGGCAGCTCGTCCTCGTAGTAGTACTCGTCTGATTGGCTGTGCTGCAGGATGGTCTGATTGGGGGAAAGTGAGAAGTAAGGTGAGGGAAAAGAGATGCGGGGAGGGGGTGGGAAACAGGGGAGGGTGGGGAGGGGAGGCGGGGTGGGGGGGTTGGTTTTGCAGGAGGGATAAGTACAAGCGCAAAAAAAATCACAAGCACACATACAGTAAAACTCGTCCGCTTGGCTATGCTGCAGGAGCAGGTGGATTGAAGATGAACCAAAACTTGTGCATGCCGGGGGAAAGGGAGTGAGTGAGGAGAACACCAGAATGGGGGCATTACGAGCAGCACAAGTTGCCAGCAGCTGGCTGAGCGCCGGCAGCTGAAACCGAACTTGTGCATGCGGGGGGAAACGGAGTGAGGAGAACACCAGAAGGCGGGGCATTACCAGCAGCATGGTATCAAGCTGGCTGAGCGCCGGCAGCTGAATCCGAAGGTCAGCTCGGACACTCCGACGCATCACCTGCCAGCACAGCACAGCACCGCACAGTACCGCACAGCACATATGGCACCACGTGAAAAAGCATCACCAAATGATGCCCATCTCCCTCCCATTGCCTTCCACCATCGGCCATTCCACCCTCACTTCGCCACCATCGCTGCCTATCCCGGTGCCTGCTCCTTCTCCTGCCCATACCCCTTCCTCGCCCCTGCCCCTGTCTCTGCCCCTGTCTCTGCCCCTGTCTCTGCCCCTGTCTCTGCCCCTGTCTCTGCCCCTGTCTCTGCTCCTGTCTCTGCCCCTGTCTCTGCCCCTGTCTCTGCCCCTGTCTCTGCCCCTGCACTGCCCCTGACCCTCAACCATGTCCCCCCTCCACACACCTCGAATCTGCTGCCATCGGGGCGAGTGGTCCAAGCAGGCGCCAGCTCCACGATGTGTCGACACACCGACACCATGATGCCCATCTCCCTCCCGTCCCCTTCCCCCATCGCCCCTGCCACCCTTCCCCATCACATCTGCCCGCCCCTGTCCCTGCCCCTGTCCCCCCCCCTCACCTCGAATCTGCTGCCATCAGGGCGAGTGGTCCATGCGGGTGCCAGCTCCACGATGTGCCGGCACACCGACACCATGATGCCCATCTCCCTCCCCTTCCCGTTTCCACATCGCCCCTGCCACGGTCCACCCCCTTCCCCACCACATCTGCCTGCCCTTCAGCCTGTCCCTGCCCCTGCCCCCGTCACTGCGCCTGCCACTGCCCCTGCCCCTCTCCCCAACCCCCATACCTCAAATCTGCTCCCGTCAGGGCGAGTGGTCCATGCAGGTGCCAGCTCCACGATGTGGCGGCACACCGACACCATGATGCCCATCTCCCTCCTCCACTTGCGCTCGTCCTCCTCTGGCAGCGGCCGCAGCCGCAGCCCATCCCCGAAGATGGATGCTGGGGAAGGGGGGAGTGGGGAGGTGGCGTAAGGGGAAGGGTGGAAGAGTCAATGAGGGGTTGTGGCAAGAGAGGCTGGTCCTTCTTTGGCAGCGGCCGCAGCCGCAGCCCCTCCCCAAAGATGGATGCTAGGGAAATGAGGGGGGAGAGGCGGGTGGGGGGGGGGGAGGAGTGGCGGGGAAGGAGAAAGAAGAGGTGACGAAACGATGTTGGAAATGTAACGGTCGGGACAAGACAACGTACCTGAGATCCTAACAGCGTACCTGAAACCCTAACAGCGTACCTGAAACCCTTACAGCGTACCTGAAACCCTAACAGCGTACCTGAAACCCTTACAGCGTACCTGAAACCCTAACAGAGTTCTTGAATATCTCACAGGTCACCTGAAACCCTGACGGCGTATCTGAAACCTTAACAGCGAACCTGGAACCCTAACAAAGTACCTGGATCTTTAACAGACCCCCTGAAACCCTAACGGCGTACCTGAGACGCTAGTGATAGCATTGGCCATGGCTAGCGCAGGGCCGCACCCCTTAGCCCCTCCGGATGGGTCGTCTCCCAGCAGCAGCTTGGACCATCGCTCGCGCATCAGCTGCATGTCTGCATGAGGAGAGGGGGAGGGGGAGGGGGGGGCGTTAGGATCATAATTTGCCACGAAGCTCCATGTGAAATGGATTTGAGCTTAGAACCTGTCTCCCAGCTGCCGCCTGTCCGGGGAGAGGGGGAGGGGGTAGGGACGGTCCTTTACAGTCACGAAAACCCACAGGAAGGAATAGATCGGAAGTAGATAGAAAGTCATTGGGAGAGAACTGCCAAGAATGAATCGAACGCACCATCCTTGTCCTTGGGAATGTAGTCCTCCACCGCTAAATCCGGGTCGTCAAACGACCCCGCCATGGTTCCGACTGAACGGATCGATATGTTCTTCGCTAGTTTATCTTCGGCGATGGATCAACGAGCGGAATGATACCCTATGAAATGCCGTCACTCTCCGCGCGCAAATGCCGAATCACCCCCCCCCCCCCCTTTTCTCCTCCCCCCCCTCCTCCCGCCTCTATCCGATTCACGGGCGCGTTGCTGGCTGGCTATCGAAACTATGGTGGTGTATACTGGGTGTCCTGGAGAGAGGGGTGTGGATCTTAAAACACTGAGATCAGTATCCGTCAGTAATCAGCGAACCATTTTTTAGACGACTACGAAAACGTTTCCGTCAGTGATCAACGAACGACCCGCCACGGTTCCTGGCTAACTGAGCTCGGGTGACGGTTTCAACGCCGGCTTAATGAGCGTTGGTGACGGGCCGACGGCCGGACTTATTCGAAAAAAGTCCGTCAGTTTCCGTTAGTAATCGGCGAGCGACTCCGACATGGGCTTTGCAAACGTCAGCTGGCTGAGGGTTGGTGATGGAACGACGGACGCACTTCAGGCAGTCTTAGGCTGAGGGTTGGATTGGATATGGGGATGGGCCTGGAGGTAGTATCTCAAGACAACCTCGTCAGTTTCCTTGGGTGTTTTTTTTAAATGACGGCCAATAGTTCTGTTTCACGCTGAGTAGCTAGGCTTCGCTCTTGGACAGACGCACAAACGTTGTAAAGAGGTTTGATACCCGCCAATTATTATTCGGAAGTGGTAAAGGAGGGTGAGCGTCGTCATTGCGAATGGACGGGTCTGGGACCTGTCATTGTCATCGAGTCTTGAGTGATGGGCGCGCTCATTGTTAACGGGTGTCGGACATTATCTGACCTAACGAGCCGTCGAGCCTCGCCATTGCTAAGCGATGGCGAAAAACGCGTTAGGACGTCGTCAGAGTTAGCGAGTACACACTGAAGCAACAACTGCTTGGCACATCAACGGTTGTACAGTCACCCTAAACTGCCATGGACCTTTGAACATGATTGCACAGTAACAATCCGACGTGGTGCAGGTGCAGGTGGAGGGCAACGAAATCGCCCTTGGGAACAACGGCAGTGTCCCCTTGAGAATAGCGGGGCTGGGTTGGGAATGATGTCCTCACTACGAGGTCGGGTTGAAAGACCACCCTGAAGCAAATGTATGCGACTGAATTTGAGATCCATTCAGTTCATCTGGTTTTTCCAGAAGGGACTCTTTCAGCGAGTCCACAAAAGTAAAAAGCTGGAATCGAACTCATGCGACTATACCTTTTCGGCAGAGTTTGAGAAATAGGGAAGTTTTCGCACGATAGCCCACCATCCAAATCGCAGGTGTCAGGTGACGGAATGGATTGTAATCACCTTTAAGAGTTCCTTAAATAAAGACCAGTGACAAAGTACACCTTCAAATCACACTCTTCTCAAACTTTTTCACACATGTGCTATAAAATTAACCTCAGACTTCTGATTGCTCCACATTATCCTCACGAGGGTCCTGATATGGAAAATCTCACTGTATTTATCAAACATCCATGCAGCTATACAGATAAAATTTTGACGTATTTATTAATCCCCAAAAATGTTACGCATAGACCCACCACCACCACCACCACCTTCTATGGAGCTCCTAAGGGTCCACGAAGCTCAGGGTGTCAGAATGTTATTATCTAGCCTATAGTGGGGTGCTCTATAGCGAGTACAACCCTGTTAGGGTTTGCTATATGTATCCCAACTGCTGCTAGTGAACCCCCTCCTTTGATCATTTCTCTCTTGCCTAGCTAGCTAAACCCTAGCTATGGCTCCTCACTGTGCTCACTATTCTCACAGGCTATCAGAGCATCTACGCTCCTGGCTTGTGGGCCCACCTAACTGCTTCCGCTGCTACTCTGTCAGTTGCACGCCCCGTAGCGTGCGACTCCTTCTTCCTGCCGCGCGCAGAGCTCGCGACGAATTTTTTTTATTTTTTTTTGGGTTTTCTTTCCGCCGTGCGCTCGGGGGGCGCGGCGGTTTTCTGCCCGCCGTGCGCCCCGAGGCGCGCGGCGGTTTCCTACCTTGGGAACCCGCGCGCGGCCCCCGCCCTGCTCGTCGCAGCGCCCTGAGGAGCACGCGCGACCCCCGCCCGTCACGTCGCGGCGCCCTTAAGAGCCGCGCGCGGCCCCTCGCTGCCCCATGGTGGCGCCCTGGGGGTCGCGCGTCACCCCTGGAGCCGCGCGCCACCCCTGGCGCCGCGCGCGGCCCCCCTTTCGCTGCCCCGTGGTGGCGCCCTGGGGGCCGCGCGCCGTCCCCCTCGCCGTCCCCCTGGGGGTGCCGGTTGTGGGGGTGCCGGTGGTGTGCGCCGTCCCCTGCTCCTCCTCCTCCTCCGTCTCCCGCTGCTGCAGCTGCCGCTGAGGGGGATGGGTGTGTGGGAGCCGAAGGAGTGGTGCTAGGGGGGTGACGTGGGAGTGGAGTTAGGAGTTCAGCAGGGGGTGTGTGTCAAGGGTGTGGGTCAGTTGGAGGAGGTTATGTGGAGGTAGCTGTCGTGTCGCCTGCAGCGCCTGTAGTCCGTCGCCCTTGCTTCGGTAGCCAGTGAGCCTGTTGCACCAGTCGCCAGTGGGTCCGTTGCTCCTGCCGCTCGTCTTAGCCGCAGAGCCAGTCACTCCAGTAGTCCGTCGCCCTTGCTTCGGTAGCCACTGAGTCAGCCGCTCCTGTGCCCGTGCCTCTGCAGCTTCAGTCATTGCCTCCCTGTTGGAGGGAAACGGTGGTGGGGCGGTGGTATGCCCCCAACCCACCGAAGGCACTTCGGTGCCTTCAATCCCTTTGACTAGGGATCGGTGGGGTGGCACCGATTGACTTCGGGAGACTCACCCTTCGGTGCCACGTGGCGGCACCACATTCCAACCTTCAAGTGCAAGGCGAATTCGGTGTGTTCGGTGTGAAATTCGGTGGCCGAATTTCACCCCAACCGAAATGTTACACGCGGCGCATTCGCGATGCGAGTGTAGCGATGCGATGTTACATGTGCGGTTCGATGTAATGCATTTGCTATAAATCGACTTGCCTTGTATGCATGTTTTATAGTGAAACTCAGAGTTCTTTGTACACGGTACATTCGAACCAAAATTCCAGAGAGCTCCTATCCTTCAATCTAAGAGCACTACCTAGCACATAAACGACGATATCTCGCTCGATACTTAGGCGAACGAGGTGATCTACGGCTCGCTGGAAAGCTAGCAGAGTGCTCTACTGCTTAGAACAATTCCTAGTTTCTGCAAAGCAGAGGAGAGTCCTCTACATCAGTGGTATCAGAGCTGGTCGGTAAAGCCTACGTGCGCGACTTGTAGCAAGCATGATGACGTCAAGCGAAACCTCTGGCACTTCCTTAGGTGGTGTCGTCTCGAATCCCGGCGAACCCTGGACAAACACGACAGTGTTCGACACGTCGACGGTTCCGATTTTCACGGGACAAAACTACTCCGCGTGGAAATTTAAGTTTCAAGTGCTCATGATGGAGCGGGGACTTTGGGGTCTCTTCGACGGAACGGAGAAAAAGCCGGTCAACGAGGACGAGATCGCGGCATGGAAGAAGAAGGACCAAAAGGCGTTCGCAACGTTGATTTCGCGCATCGGCATCAACCTCGTGAGTTCGGTGCGCACGTGCATCAAGCTCGAAGCGTCGGCGCGTGAAGCATGGAAGCGGCTCGAGACGATGCACGTGAACAAGACTCTCCACGGCAAGATCCTAGCCCGAAATGCGTTCTACACGGTGAAGTTACGCGCGGGCGAATCGATGCACGAGTATGCGACTCGTGTGGAGGAACTTGGGGAAACGTTCATGGACCTCGGTGGAACGGTCACGGAGGAGGATTGGATTCTCACCTTGCTTTGCGGCCTTCCGGAAGAGTGGTTGACGGTGATTACGACACTCGATAGCGTGCAAAACACTTGGACGAAGGAAATGGTGGTCGGTCGGCTTCTCCATGAAGAATCGCGACGCCGACAATTCGCTAACAAGAGCGTGGAGACCGCCATGTTCTCCGGAGGGAGCTCCGGAAAGAAGTCCAAGTGGAGCAAGGGTGAGGCGAAGAAGTAGTCCGGTGGAAACGAGCGCGGCAAAGGCAACACATCGAACGGTTCGAGCAAGTGCCACTATTGTCGCAAAGCGGGACATTTTTGGCGTGAATGTCGGAAGCGGCCGAGCGATTGGACTCCATCGAAGGCGCGGAACCAAGAGAGCAACGCGCACACGGCATCCGGCGAGGCGGATGATTCAACGGAGTCGCTCGTTTTGTTGGCCGGTGACGGGATCAACACTTCAAACGACGCGTGGTTCCTCGACACCGGTGCAACACAACACATGACGCACTCGGCGTCGCTCCTCAACAACATCGGTGCTCCGGGAGACGTTAAGCGCGTCGTCTTCGAGAACGACAAATCGCTACCGGTGGTTGGAGTTGGGAGTACGCGTCTCATCGTCGATAGCGGGCCGGTGGACATCACGAACGTTCTTCACGTCCCGGGATTGAAGGTGAATCTACTCTCCGTCACTCAACTCGCAAAGAAGGACGTGAAGGTCACCATCGATGGCGCGAAGATGAACCTCTTTTGGAAGGGGAAGCAATTCGCGCAAGGCGTTCTCAACGGACAACTCTACCAACTCAAGACGCATCCGAATACGGCCTCATCCAACATGGCGCAAGGCTCCAAGGCGACTCTCAAGATGTGGCATAATCGGCTTGCGCACGCCAACTACGACTCGGTCAAGGAGTTGGCCAACAAAGGACTTGCAAGGGATTTGACGTGATCACCGGCAACGACGAGAAGGGCGTGTGCGCGGCGTGTGTCGAAGGAAAAATGGCTCGCAAGCTATTTGGTAGCCGTACCTCACCCCTCGCTAAGGACCCGCTTGCGCTTGTTCACTAAGAGAGGAGCGCGGTTCCTCTTAGTGATGCGGCATGCATCTAAGGGAGGAGCGCGGTTCCTCTTAGTGATGCTCGACGACGCAACGCGGATGTGTTGGACCCGGCTCTT